ATGCGGCGATGTATTCTTGCAGCGACCCTAGTAATACAGCTTCAAATGGCATAGAATTCCGCTGGCGACGCCTTGAAGATTTGTCTGCGGCATTGGCCAGACGCCAGGGATCCAAGTGTGTTGCAAGCGCCCGCAGCCCACCAATGAATGATGCTCGTACCGCGGTGTCCGGGGCCCTCCTGACGGAGCGACCTGGGGGCGTCCTGTGCGAAGAGCAGGCGCTGCGTCAGCCGGGCCGGGGCCGTGGGCGGACAGTAACTGTAGTACCAGCGGGGCCGGCGCTGGCCAAGCCTCCCGTGGCCCAGCAGCCGCTGAACATAAGGCTCATTGAGTAGAGGGTGGATGGCGTCGATAACGTGCCTCTCTAAAGCCAAGAGGTTCGCGTCGGTCCTTGCGCGGGCGGTAGGCACAAAAACCATCGCAGCCGCCGCACTGGCGAGGTCACCCCCGAATACGGACGACAGCGCGAGCATGTAAGAACCCCTGGAGGTGCCGCCGCACCCGCGACTTGAAATCGACCGTCTTGCCAATGTAAAACTGCCTGTGCCAAGGGCTCCATATAAGGTAAGCGACAAATTCGGCGTGCAACGTGTCCGGCGATGCCGGCCACGTAGACGATGAGAGTGAAGAAGCCAGGTTGCGCAGGTTACTGTGGAAGGCGGTGGTGGAGGACGCCAGGAAGAGCGCGGTGAGCGCGATGCCCATGCGCAGAAGGCAGAAGATGCAGGGCCACACAAAGAGGCTCTCGGAGTACACGCTGCGGAGGGCGCAGCGGACCGATGCCAGCGCGCTGTTGTACCAAAATCGGATTTCGCGAGTTCTGGAGATACATGGTCTCCCATCGTCGTGAAGACCCGAAACATCACCGCATGCGCTGCGCCCCCCGTCGCGTGCCTGCTTTGATAGTCATTCCTCTAAGTGGCGCGTCTTGGCCAAGAGAGCGGCCAGGAGCTGCGCCAGGTCCCCGATGCGTTTCTCGACGAACTGTACCCCCACCGCGGTGGCCTTGTCCTTGAAAACCCATAGGATCTTCGGATCCTGGGGGTCAGATGCGCGTCCCCCCCTGGGGGTTCTGAGGGCTCCGAAAGTACCAAGACAGGCCAAGAGTGCCCCAAGAGACTTCCGAGACGGTCCACGAGGGTACCCTATCGCCAAACTATCGGTCCAAAACGCATTCACGCCCTCCACTGCCCAGGAGGCCGCCAAGACGTCCCAAGAAGCCTCCAAGAACAACCCCGAGAAAAACCCCACGAGGTAGCATTCATTGATTTCCCGCTTGTTTTTGTTCCAGGATTTGGGCGTTCTCGCCTTTTCCGCTCCACGCCGCTCCGAGACGGCCCAAGAGGCCCCCAAGATCGCCCCAAGACGGCCCAAGAGGCCTCGAAGATGGCCCCCTACACAGCCCAAAAGGACCCCAAGACATCCCACAACGCCTCCAAGACGGCCCCAAAGGCCTCCACGACGGCTCCAAGAGCGTGCCCAGACGGGGGACCTGAACGGACATTCAGAGCCCTCGGCCACGAGAGGCTCCCATCCCAGGAGGCCCCAAGAGGTTCCCAAGAGAACCCAAGAGGCCCACAAGAGGCCCACAAGAGGTCCCCAGGACGCCCGAAGAGGTCCCAAGAGGCTCCTAAGAGGCCCCCAAGAGGCTTCCAAGAGGCCCTGGAATCCTTCCCCAGAGGCCCCCGAGAGCCTTCCGAAGAGACCCCAAGAAGCATCCCTCTGCCCCACGTCAGCGTCGTCGTCGCCGTCGCCGTCGCCACCGTTGCCGTCGCCGTCCCCCTTCAGGGTCGGCGGCACTGGCCGCAAGGCCTCCGCAATAGGTTCCCCGATCGACCCGTGGGACAGACGTCGGGAAATATGGCATCGCGAAAAAACACGACTGGAGCCCTAAACCCCATTCTGATTTTTCGAGATGGATCGATCTATGATGGTCCTGGGGCCCGATTCCAGGCGAAAGCGCCCAGAGTGAAAAATTGCAGGGCCCTGATCTCAGGGGAAGTTCGGGCACGGCCCCGAAAACGGAGCCCCTCGGGAGTCCACGGTGGTCCTCCTCTCGGCGTCTTGACTGCGAGCAGCGAGGGCGCGCCGTCCACGCCACCGGCCCCCCGGAACGACCCCCCGTCGCAGGCCACCACCGCGTGCCGATGGCGCTGCAGCACACGGCGCGGTGCGCAGACGAGGCGAGGTGGAACGGCCGCAAGGGCCGTCGGGGGGAGCTGCGCTGCGCCCTCCGTGGCGGCGGTATCTGGCACCGGGGAGGGGAGGGGCGCCCAGCTCCGTGCCGAGAGGCCCGCGAGGACCTTCGCAAGCTTCTATGTAAGGGTGAGCCTTCGGGAGGCCCTCTCTCGTTCAGCGCTCAACGACTTCTGCTGTCCCTCGACTCGCGCTGGAGCGTCCACGAGCTGCTCCAGGTGCACATGTAGATCTCATGGTTTATTTGATGAGTCCAGAGTCACATAAAGCTACTTGGACTTATGCAGGTTTAGCTGGTCTGATCTCTGCAAGTCGATTGGAGAAAAGTCGCCAGGCCCTTCGAGCCTTATGGACTCTCACTCATATTACCAGACGCAGAAAGTGGACGCAAGCCCCTGCATGCCCAAATTGGGCTGAGGTGTCATGCTGGGCCAACGAGGGGAGAAAAAGACATCGGAGCCTTCCACACCACTAAGGCTCTCGTCCTCGGCAGCCTGGCTGTGTGCTCACATATCCGGTGCCTCCCCCTCCCCTCCCAGGAGGAGAGGACGAGGGAAGAGGAGGCAGGGAGGATGGGAACCTGACCGGACAAGAACGGGAAGCGCAGTTTTTTATCCACCACGTGCGTCAGAGACCGTATTGGCGAGAACGTCAGAGAACATCCCTGTTGCGTTTCCTGGCTTCGGCGCCGTCTTGGAGGTATCTTGGACGCTCTTGGGGCTGTCGTAGCCTCTGGCCTCTCGGGGGCCTCTTGGGGGAGTCCCGGGGGGGGCCTTCGGGGGCTCTATGGGGCGATATGAAGCTCTCAGGGAACTCCTGGAGCCTTTTCGCGCGTTCTGGGGGACTTCTGGCCGCCTCTTTGGAGCCCCTGGGGGGCTTCTTGGGGGTCTCTTGGGGCGTTTTGGGCGCTCTGGCGGGCCTCTGGCCGCCCCTTGGGGGCCTCTTGGGGGTCTCTTGGGGCGCTCTGGGGGTCCTCTGGGGGGCCTTCGGGGGCTTTCTTGGGCCGTTTGGAGGCCCTCCGGGAGCGATTCCAAGATAATGCTGCTTCGGAGTCCCCTCCGGAGCCGATTTTTTGAGGACGTCCCGAGCGAAACGGCCATTTTTTCCGGAACACGGCAGACCACACAGGAGCACGGCAGACCACACAGGACACGGCACGGCAGACCAACACAGGAGCCGGGCAAACCAAACAAGAAGCACGCAGCAGACAGGACACGCAGACCATTTTGGGGGAATCCGTTAACGAAAAATCCCGTGCAGCGCGGCAACCCATATAGTTAAAGAAAAGATATATTTACTCAAGGATTCAGCCAGAACGTCCCGCTTGCTTGTCGTACCTCGAAGACGCTTCCCGTCATCCGCCAACGAGTTTCGGGATGGAGCCCGTACCCCTTAGTTAGAGAACCGCCAACGAGTTTCGGGATGGAGCCCGTACCCCTTAGTTAGAGAATCTCTCTCCCTCTCTATCTCTCTATGTCTCTCTCTTTCTCTGGCTTTAAGCCCCCAAAGCTTCAGCTTCAGCACGGCAGACCAGAACAGCAGACCCGCACGGCAGACCAGCACAACACACCGACACGGCAGACGAGCACGGCAGTCCGGCACGGCAGACCAGCACGGCAGACCAGCACGGCAGCCCATAGGAACATAGCAGACCAGATCATGTCATTGACGCTGCTGTTGTTGGTGATGATCATGTTGCTGCTGATGGTGATGGTGATGCGTACGATGATGATAATGATGATGATGAGGAGGAGGAGGATGATGATGATGAGTATGAGTATGAGTATGGTGATGATGATGGTGATGATGATGATGATGATGATGATGATGATGATGATGATGATGATGATGATGAGGATGATGATGATGATGGACTTCTCGGGGTGTGCTTGGGAGATGTTGGGGTCCTCTGGAGAGCCTTTGGACTAGCAATTTAAATCTGCGTAGCCGTTGTAACCCGACTCTCGTTTTCTTCATCGGTCTGACCGGTTTATCAGCTTACACGGCACAGCGCAGCAACACGACAGACGGCAGCAGCACGGCAGACCAGGAAGGCAGACCACAGGAGCACGGCAGACCAGAACGGCAGACCAAAACGGCAGACCGCAGGAGCACGGCAGAGCAGCACAGCTGACCACAGGAGAACGGCAGACCAGCACAGCGTTGTTGCAGCAGACGGTGCTGATACACTCTTAATTTATTGAACACGTCCCCAGCGAAATCGTCATGGTCGGCCGTATTGAGGGCACTCTGCGGGTCATCTTTGGGCCGATTTTGTTTTTGGGGGGCCGTACTGATGCCCTCAAAAACGATTCCAAGACGACGTTAGACTCATTGTTTGTTTGATGATTGTTCGGCCGTCTTGAGGGCACTCTTAGGGCATAGTCTGCCGTGCTCCTCGTCTTGGTCTGCCGTGCTCCTCGTCTTGGTCATCCTTTCCGTCGTCTTGAGGGCGCTCTTGGTGCCTGGTCTGCCGTGCTCCTCGTCTTGGTCTGCCGTGCTCCTCTCGGTTCCTAAGCCTGGTCTGCCGTGCTCCTCGTCTTGGTCTGCCGTGCCTCTCCTGTGCGGGACTCCTGTGGGGAGCACGGCAGACCACAGGAGCACGGCAGACCACACAGGAGCACGGGTCCGTAGCCATTTTGGCTCAAGGCCATGGCGCACCCGACGACCGCGAGTCCGTCGGGCGTTCTTGAGCGCGAGGGGCGCTCTGCCACGAGCCAGAAGCTTCGCCAATTTTGTTCTTCTTCGTTCCTGCAGGGCCGTGTGTTTCGGCCGAGCAGCTGTCAGTCCCTCGGTGAGCCGCCATGTCGGAGGTTGCCTCGGGGCTGGCCAGGCGGGCGTACTGGTTGTGTGCTAAGCGTGGCTGTAACGCTTGGAATTGGTGTGACAAGCGGTGGACGTGCAAGGCGTGCGGCACCAGTGCTCCCCCATGGACGAAGGAGTACCGCTCCGACAAGGCCCCCCCGCGGGTGGACGCAGACGGGTTCGTGCAGCAGCCCAGGGGAAGGGCTGAGCAGCGCGCGGCGAGGCGCTCGGCCTCCCAGCGGGCCCTCTCGGGGAGCACCGCGCCCAGCAGCGCCCCCAACAGCAGGGCACGGCGAGCGCGGCCCTGGGGAGAGGCCAAGACCCAGATCGAGGAGCTGCAGGCGCAGCTCGCGGCGGCCAGGGAGCGCGTCGACACGCTCCAAGGGGCCTCGGCGCTCGGGCTCTCAGTGGACTTCCAGCGGGAGGCGGAGAAGGCCCTCCAGCAGGGCAAGGACCAGGTCGCCGCCTTGGAGCGGTCCGTCCAGGACGCCCAGCGCACGGAGCGCCCGCCTCACTCGGTGCTCCACATTGAGGCCAACGCCATTCAGAAGGTCGAGCGCCAGCTGGCCACGGCGCGTGCCAAGAGGGAGAAGCTCCAGCTGCAGGCGTCCGAGCTGCGCGAGCTCATCGCGGAGAAGCAGGAGCAGCTATCGGCAGCCGAGTTGGGAGTTGATGAAGTAAGTCACTGGGCAGATTGCTGAGCTGGAAGAGACCAGGGCCAAGGTCACGCAGCAGGCGATCCAGCGGGCCAACGCAGCTGTCGGAGGAGTGCCGAGCCCGCTTGGGGACGCCGTTCAGGGGTTGCTTACTCAAGTTGGCGCCCTGTCGGATCTCCTCAAGCAGCACGGAGCCGAGATGCCTCCCAGGTTTTCGGAGATCGTCGAGATTCTCAACACGCAGAAGGAGGCGGTCGCTGATGTGCTCAGGCCCCGTAGCAGCTCGGCCAGGAAGCGTTGGGGCGACAGCGTCGGTGACGACGGCCTCGCGACCGAGGATGACGACATGCCGCTCGACATCGTGGCCTCAGGTGGGCCAGCGGGCGCCCCCCCCGCTGGCGCCCCGCAGGCAGGGCCGACCGCGGCAGGGCCGCCAGCCTCGCGGGCCAGGCCAGCGGACGGACCCTACGGCCCTGCAGCGGCCCGCGGCCAGCACGGGGCGACCCTGGGCGCGTGGCCTCAGGTGGAGCCCTGCCTCGCTAAGGCCCTCGCCGAGCAAGGGGCGGCCCTCTCGGACGGCGACCCCTTGGTGGCTGCGGCTTCTGTCGTTGCTCCTGCTGCTGGGTACGGGCCGCGCCGTGGGTGATGCAAGAGCGTTGGAGTGGTCCGCTTCCACAGTCGGCCTCGACGTCGGGGACAGCGTGACGCCTTCCCCTCGGGGTGTGCGCGGGCCCAGCTGCTGGGACAGGTGGAGGAGGCGCTGTGACGGCCGCTGGCGCGTCCGCGCCCCTCGCAGGCGGCGGGCGGCGCCGAGCACCCTTGCCCGAGGTAGCCAGCTGGCGCGGTCGGGAACACCGAGGTGGCCCCCCGACGGCCAGTCAGGGGCCGAGAGCGGTGGGATTCAGCCCCACGTCGTCGCAGCTCTCGGCCCCGTTGGCGAAGGGCAGGCGCACCCCCCGCTGGCAACCGGAGGGGCGGAGGGACGGCCACCTCCTCAGCCCTCCGTTGGCGCGCTGCAGAGGGAGCGACGGCCACCTCCCGTTCTGGCGAGCGGCCCGCCGACGCCGATGAGGAGCGCTGGAGTGAGGGGCCAGGGCCCCCCTCCAGTCCTGGCGGGGGCGGAGGGTCCCGCGACCAGGGGCACAGCGGGCCCCGTGTCTGGCGCAGGCGGGCGCGCCGCTCGCGAGGCTGCCGTCATCGGCAAGGCACCGCTGGTCGGCAGGGCAGGAGGCCAGCAGCTTCGAGCTGGCCTAGTCATGCTCGGCTGCAATGGCAACATTTGGAGCAGGAGCATGGAAGCCCTCGAGGCCTTCTTCAAGGCGTACGACTACTGGCCCGACGTAGTGGCGCTGCAGGAGACGAGGCTCCCGCATGAGCGCCTGCCCAGCGCGGCGGCGCAGGCTCGCGGCCTGGGTTACGCTGCCTTCCTCCACGAGGCGGTGCCGACGGAGAAGCAGGGGCCCCAGGCGACCTCAGGCGGCGTGGCGATCATGGTGCGAGATGGCTTGCAGGCCGACGAGTCTGCGTACCCGTTGCCCTCGGCCTTGCGGCACCGCCTCATCGGGGTGGAGATCGCCGCCGCCTCGGGCCTTCGGATCCTGGTGCTTGCTGGGTACTTTCAGCACTCTTTGGGCCCTCGAGGCACCAACCTGGACCTGTTCTCGGCCATCTCGGAGGTGACGGGCTCCTCTGCCGACATCCCGTGGGTCCTCCAAGCCGACTTCAACATGGAGCCCGAGCCCCTGGAGGAGTTGGGGTGGCCCGCTTCGGTGCGGGGGCACGTCCTGGGGCCCTCGGAGGCGACGTGCCATGCCGAGGGATGCGACCACCTCTACGACTGGTTCGTGGCTTCCGCGGCGCTGGCAGCTTGCACGGCATCCTGCGCCACCACGCTCGAGGGCTTCGGGCTGCACCCTCATCGCCCTGTCCTGCTTCGTCTCCAGGACGTTCGGGCAGATGCTTTGGTGGAGGTTCCGTCCAGGCCCGCACGCTTCCCCGAAGTTGCTCCTGAGCTCCTTCGGGCGCACGAGGACGCGGAGATTGTGTGCTACTCGGTTGGCAAGAAAGGTCAGGTCACGCCTAGGTGCGCCGCGTGGTCCTGGGACACAGGCACTTCACCGACCAACCTCTCCGTCGCCTTCAGCGAGTGGGTGGCGGCTGCTGAAGGCACCCTGGTCGGCATCCACGGCATCGTCCAGGCAGACTTGGCCCGTCATCTCGGCAGAGGAGAGGGGCCGCGGCTGTCCCTCAAGCCTCTCAGTGCCTTGGTCAGGCGTGATGCCAGGTTCAGGTTCAGCCTCCTCACGCACCGCTTGAGGAGCTGCCTGGACGTGGCCCTCCAGCGGGTGCGCGCTGAGAGGACTGGCCGCTGGCACCCTCGGCATGCTGACTGGTACAGGCACCAGGCCGAGCTCAGGGCGCAGCTCTTGCTAGAGGCGGTGCAGGAGGCTTCCGACTCGGTCGGTGGGGCCCCCCCTGGCGCAGCCCCTGATCGACTAGGCGACATGGTGTTTCAGGCGGGCGTCCACGGCAACCCTGATGCCGTTCGGGACCTCCAAGGGCTGCTCGGTGCATCGCAGCGCCGCGACGCGGCTCAGAGCGCCCAGGCCTGGCGCAACTGGGCACAGACAGCGGTCGAGAAGGGCGGTCGTCTGGCCCACCGCTTCTCGAAGGCGACGCCCCCGCCGACGGTCAGGGACGCTGACTCGGGCAGGAGGCTTGTTGGGATGGCAGCGATCGGCGAGCTCACGAGTGTCTGGCAGAAGCTGTGGCTCCAGGATGGGTTTGCCCTGGGCGCAGGGGCCAGCAGCTGGGACGTTGGCGAGTGGCGGCTGCCACCCATCTCGCTGGAGCAGCTCCAGGCGGCCTGCAAGCGCTACAGCCCCTCGGTGGGGCTCGGGTGCGACTCTCTGCACCCTAGGCAGATCCTCCTGTTGCCCGTTGCACTGCAGCAGCGCATCCTGGACATCTTGGCGGCCTACGACGACGCCCCTGCATCGATCAGCGGGCAGGTCTCCCTGATGGTGTTCATCCCGAAGGCAGATGGAGGGGTGAGGCCCATTGCGTTGCTGCCGCTGGTCCTGCGGCTGTGGTCGCGCCTCCGCCAGCCGTGCTGTGCCCGCTGGGAGGCTGACCACGACTTCCCCTTTTTCTGGGGACGTGACGGGCGGGACTGCGAGCGGGCTGGGTGGTTGCACAACTGCTTTGCGGGGTTCGCGAAGGCGAACCAGCAGTTCGAGGCCGCGAGCCTCTTCCTGGACATCAGCAAGTTCTACGAGCACGTGCGTCACGACGTTCTCTGGGCGAATGCAGTACGTTTCGGGTTCAACCTCAGGCTGTTGCGCGGCCTCCTCACCTCCTACCAGGCCCCTAGGATGATCCTCGCGGCGGGCATGGCTTCCCCCGCCTTCAGCACTACGGGTACGGTTTTGGCTGGGTGTGCGTGTGCGACAGCAGTTGCGAAGCTCCCAGTGCTGGGCGCCCTCCTGGCCGCGGGGGCGACGTGCCCGTTGGTCGCGCCGAGGAATGTGGTCGACGACATCTCTCTCCAGGCGGTCGGCACGGCCCGACTCGTTAAGCAGCAGATGTTGGTCTCCAGCTGTGAAGTGGTCCGCCTGCTGCGTGAACAGCACCTCCCACTCAACGAGAGTAAGTCGGTCTTCCTGGCCTCGTCGCCGCAGCTCGCCAAGGAGCTCTCCGAGGCGTGGGCAGCGCAGGGCTTGGCCTTCAAGAGGGGACTGCAGGCGAGGAACCTCGGCACAGACGCCAACATCACCCGTCGAGGAGTGCACGAAGGTGCGGTGCGTGCGGTCGGCGGCCTTCGGCGTGGACGCAGGCTCGGGGTGCTTCGCTCAGCTGGTGCGGCGACCGAGATGGTCCACCGTGCTGGGCCCACCGCGGCGATGCTGTGGGGGCGTACGGTGACTGGTGTACCTGATAGGGAGCTTCATTCGTGGCGCTTGGCGGCTGTGCGCTCGGCTGGGAGGTTCCCCAAGGGCGCCTCACTCGGGCTGAGGCTCAGAGCTGTGGAGGTCATGCGGTCCATCGACCTCGACCCGAGCCCCGCGCTGCTTCGAGCCGCTGTGCAGATGGCGGCCAGCCTCCTTCAGTCGGGGGAGGTCTCCCAGCGCATGTTCGAGACGGCCGTGCAGGAGGCGGAGCAGAGGCACGCGGGAGCAGCAGCCCCATGGGCGCACTGCCGTACGCCAGTGGATGCCTTGGCCCTCTCGCTCACCAGGGTGGGCTGGAGGCTCGTCCAAGGCACCTGCCTCGCCACCGACGACGGCCACATCCTGGACCTGCGCATGATGGGGCCGCGCGAGCTGGGCCTGCTGGCAGCGGCAGGGGCGCGGCGTGCTTCGGACAGGTCGGAGCTGGCCCGCCTCGGCCACGGTGCACTCCCCCCGTCGCCCTTGTTCTGGGAGGCCTTCTCCGAGGTCCTCGGGCCTGGCAGCAAGCTCAGCCCCAGGGAGAAGGCGGCGGTGATGAGTTTCCTTTCCAACGCCCACTGGCCCCAGACCCGTCTGCACTCGGCGGGGGAGAGGGTGCATGCCCGCTGCTGCGCTTGCGATGCACCCCGCGGCAGCCTCTGGCACAGGCTGTTCGAGTGTCCCGTCCTCGCGGGGCCGAGGCGCGACTCTACCTCCGACCGCCTTCGACGCTGCGCACATCGTGCACGTGGCCTTGGTGAGGAGGCGGGGGAATGCTTCGCGCGCTGCTGGCTCCCTCAGCCCCCGAGGACCGCGCCGAGGTCGGATGCCATGGCGGTCATGTGGCGCAATCGCCCCGCCGACGGTCTCCTCGGGGGGCGCCTCTACCTGGATGGGTCGGCGCTCGACCCCGAGCACGAGAGCCTACGGCGTGCGGGTTGGAGCATCGTGCAGTGCGACTCCGACGGCAACATGGAGTGCGCGGTGTACGGCAGCGTGCGCCAAGACCTCTGCCCGTTCCAGACGGCCAAGGACGGCGAGGATTTCGCGGTCTGGATGCTGTCCCGCTTCCTGGGCCCGAGTGTGGACGAGATCCTCATCGATTGTGCGTCTACGGTCAGCTGCCTCACGTTGGGCAAGAGGTACGCGACGGCAGCCAACAAGCCCAATGCTCATCTCTGGGAGGGGATCTACGCTTCGCTGGACGTGGACATGCTCAAGGTTACCAAAGTGGCAGCCCACTGCACCGCCAGGGACGTGATGGATGGCAGGATCACGGAGGCGGACCTCCGCGGCAACGGTCATGCTGACCGCTGGGCCAAGGCAGGTGCGGAGCTGCACCGCACCAGCCCCGTGGCCAGGCGCGAGTTCTTCGGCACGATGGAGGTGGTGAGGGAGCTCGCATGCTGGGTGGCGCAAGCCTCCCTCATCTGGCAGGGGATCGAGGTCAAGGACTGCGAGGGCCTGCCTGAGGGCAGCGAGCGGACGGCTGTTTCCTTCGCCGTGCCCGTGGTGGAGGTCGCCACCAGCCGCCAGCCCGACTCGGGTTCGGGCGACGGCTGGGCCTCGGCGGCGCGCGCTGGTGGAGTATCCCTCGGTGCGACGGCCTTCGTCGTCGCTGGCCACGTCCTGGCCTTCGCCAGGTGCGGGGAGGGCGCCGCCGAGCAGGAGCTGATGGCGTGCACCCACTGCGGGGCGTACGCGCGGCTGGGCGGGCGCTCAGGCGCGGCGCCCAAGCTCAAGGAGCAATGCCCAGGGTCTGCGGGGCTTCCCAAGGGCAGGCGAGACCAGAAGGCGCGCTGGCTGCAGGGGCGGCATCCTGCTGGCACGCCCCACAGCGGCAGCAAGCGGGTCGGCGCGACAGTGCCCAGCCTGCGCAAGGAGGACGTGGTGCCGATGGACGCCAGGGTGCGCTTCCTGCAGTGGCTGGGGGTCCGCCCCGAGGGTGCTCCTGGCGGCGAGGCCGCCGGCGCCAGCCGCGGGCCCCCCAGCGGCGCGGCGGCCGCTGGCGAGGCGGCGGCGGAGCCGCTGGCGCCTGGCCCCGCGGGGGCCTCGAGGGAGGCATGGCTGAGCGCCTACGGCCTGGACGAGGCGAGCCTCCTCGAGTGGTCAGCCGCGGCTGAGACGGCGCGCGAGGACAGGCGCAAGAGGCGTCGCCTTGCAGATGGTGGCGAGGGGGAGTGATGCAGCATCATTTTCTTCCTCCTGTTGTGTCCGTCCCTCTCGTCATCCTCTTTCTGTGAGTGAGTGAGGCAGGTCAGGCCGTTTGGCTTTGCAATGCGTGTGCTGGCCTCGCCTCGAGGTTCGTGGGGCCCTTCGCAAGTGTTGTGAGTGTGGGCCCCGCGTCTCTTTTGCAGCGTGGCGGGCATGTTGGCCGTGCTTTGCGCGCCTCAGCCCCCGCTGCCTTCTTGATTTCTTTGAAATCATGCGCTTCGCGCGTCTGGCGCTTCGCGCCCTCCCCTGCGGTGGCTCCTTCGGGGCCCCTAGGGTTGGCCCTTGAGGCCCTGGGGCCAACGGGCTCCGCGGGCCTCGGGCTCCTTTTTGCCTTCATAGGCCCCGCAGCCCACACAGGAGCACGGCAGACCACACCTCGATTTTTTGAGGATGTCTCGAGCGAAATGGCCATTTTGGGGAACCTGACCGGACAAGAACGGGAAGCGCAGTTTTTTATCCACCACGTGCGTCAGAGACCGTATTGGCGAGAACGTCAGAGAACATCCCTGTTGCGTTTCCTGGCTTCGGCGCCGTCTTGGAGGTATCTTGGACGCTCTTGGGGCTGTCGTAGCCTCTGGCCTCTCGGGGGCCTCTTGGGGGAGTCCCGGGGGGGGCCTTCGGGGGCTCTATGGGGCGATATGAAGCTCTCAGGGAACTCCTGGAGCCTTTTCGCGCGTTCTGGGGGACTTCTGGCCGCCTCTTTGGAGCCCCTGGGGGGCTTCTTGGGGGTCTCTTGGGGCGTTTTGGGCGCTCTGGCGGGCCTCTGGCCGCCCCTTGGGGGCCTCTTGGGGGTCTCTTGGGGCGCTCTGGGGGTCCTCTGGGGGGCCTTCGGGGGCTTTCTTGGGCCGTTTGGAGGCCCTCCGGGAGCGATTCCAAGATAATGCTGCTTCGGAGTCCCCTCCGGAGCCGATTTTTTGAGGACGTCCCGAGCGAAACGGCCAATTTTCCGGAACACGGCAGACCACACAGGAGCACGGCAGACCACACAGGACACGGCAGACCCCACGGGAGCACGGCAGACCACACAGGAGCACGGCAAACCACACAAGAGCACGGCAGACCATACAGGAGCACGCCAGACCATTTTGGGGAATCCGTTAACGAAAAATCCCGTGCAGCGCGGCAACCCATATAGTTAAAGAAAAGATATATTTACTCAAGGATTCAGCCAGAACGTCCCGCTTGCTTGTCGTACCTCGAAGACGCTTCCCGTCATCCGCCAACGAGTTTCGGGATGGAGCCCGTACCCCTTAGTTAGAGAACCGCCAACGAGTTTCGGGATGGAGCCCGTACCCCTTAGTTAGAGAATCTCTCTCCCTCTCTATCTCTCTATGTCTCTCTCTTTCTCTGGCTTTAAGCCCCCAAAGCTTCAGCTTCAGCACGGCAGACCAGAACAGCAGACCCGCACGGCAGACCAGCACAACACACCGACACGGCAGACGAGCACGGCAGTCCGGCACGGCAGACCAGCACGGCAGTCCGGCACGGCAGACCAGCACGGCAGACCAGCACGGCAGCCCATAGGAACATAGCAGACCAGATCATGTCATTGACGCTGCTGTTGTTGGTGATGATCATGTTGCTGCTGATGGTGATGGTGATGCGTACGATGATGATAATGATGATGATGAGGAGGAGGAGGATGATGATGATGAGTATGAGTATGAGTATGGTGATGATGATGGTGATGATGATGATGATGATGATGATGATGATGATGATGAGGATGATGATGATGATGGACTTCTCGGGGTGTGCTTGGGAGATGTTGGGGTCCTCTGGAGAGCCTTTGGACTAGCAGTTTAAATCTGCGTAGCCGTTGTAACCCGACTCTCGTTTTCTTCATCGGTCTGACCGGTTTATCAGCTTACACGGCACAGCGCAGCAACACGACAGACGGCAGCAGCACGGCAGACCAGGAAGGCAGACCACAGGAGCACGGCAGACCAGAACGGCAGACCAGAACGGCAGACCGCAGGAGCACGGCAGAGCAGCACAGCTGACCACAGGAGAACGGCAGACCAGCACAGCGTTGTTGCAGCAGACGGTGCTGATACACTCTTAATTTATTGAACACGTCCCCAGCGAAATCGTCATGGTCGGCCGTATTGAGGGCACTCTGCGGGTCATCTTTGGGCCGATTTTGTTTTTGGGGGGCCGTACTGATGCCCTCAAAAACGATTCCAAGACGACGTTAGACTCATTGTTTGTTTGATGATTGTTCGGCCGTCTTGAGGGCACTCTTAGGGCATAGTCTGCCGTGCTCCTCGTCTTGGTCTGCCGTGCTCCTCGTCTTGGTCATCCTTTCCGTCGTCTTGAGGGCGCTCTTGGTGCCTGGTCTGCCGTGCTCCTCGTCTTGGTCTGCCGTGCTCCTCTCGGTTTCAGTGCCTGGTCTGCCGTGCTCCTCGTCTTGGTCTGCCGTGCTCCTCTCGGTTCCTGCGCGCGGTCTGCCGTGCTCCTGTGGGGAGCACGGCAGACCACAGGAGCACGGCAGACCACACAGGAGCACGGCAGACCACACCTCGATTTTTGGAGGATGTCTCGAGCGAAATGGCCATTTTGGGGAATCCGCCAACGAAATATCCCCGTGCAGCGCGGCAACCCATAGATATAAAGATATATATATATATATATATATATTTACTCAAGGATTCAGCCAGAACGTCCCGCTTGCTTCTCGTACCTCGAAGACGCTTCCCGTCATCCGCCAACGAAAAACCTGACCGGACAAGAACGGGAAGCGCAGTTTTTTATCCACCACGTGCGTCAGAGACCGTATTGGCGAGAACGTCAGAGAACATCCCTGTTGCGTTTCCTGGCTTCGGCGCCGTCTTGGAGGTATCTTGGACGCTCTTGGGGCTGTCGTAGCCTCTGGCCTCTCGGGGGCCTCTTGGGGGAGTCCCGGGGGGGGCCTTCGGGGGCTCTATGGGGCGATATGAAGCTCTCAGGGAACTCCTGGAGCCTTTTCGCGCGTTCTGGGGGACTTCTGGCCGCCTCTTTGGAGCCCCTGGGGGGCTTCTTGGGGGTCTCTTGGGGCGTTTTGGGCGCTCTGGCGGGCCTCTGGCCGCCCCTTGGGGGCCTCTTGGGGGTCTCTTGGGGCGCTCTGGGGGTCCTCTGGGGGGCCTTCGGGGGCTTTCTTGGGCCGTTTGGAGGCCCTCCGGGAGCGATTCCAAGATAATGCTGCTTCGGAGTCCCCTCCGGAGCCGATTTTTTGAGGACGTCCCGAGCGAAACGGCCAATTTTCCGGAACACGGCAGACCACACAGGAGCACGGCAGACCACACAGGACACGGCAGACCCCACGGGAGCACGGCAGACCACACAGGAGCACGGCAAACCACACAAGAGCACGGCAGACCATACAGGAGCACGCCAGACCATTTTGGGGAATCCGTTAACGAAAAATCCCGTGCAGCGCGGCAACCCATATAGTTAAAGAAAAGATATATTTACTCAAGGATTCAGCCAGAACGTCCCGCTTGCTTGTCGTACCTCGAAGACGCTTCCCGTCATCCGCCAACGAGTTTCGGGATGGAGCCCGTACCCCTTAGTTAGAGAACCGCCAACGAGTTTCGGGATGGAGCCCGTACCCCTTAGTTAGAGAATCTCTCTCCCTCTCTATCTCTCTATGTCTCTCTCTTTCTCTGGCTTTAAGCCCCCAAAGCTTCAGCTTCAGCACGGCAGACCAGAACAGCAGACCCGCACGGCAGACCAGCACAACACACCGACACGGCAGACGAGCACGGCAGTCCGGCACGGCAGACCAGCACGGCAGACCAGCACGGCAGCCCATAGGAACATAGCAGACCAGATCATGTCATTGACGCTGCTGTTGTTGGTGATGATCATGTTGCTGCTGATGGTGATGGTGATGCGTACGATGATGATAATGATGATGATGAGGAGGAGGAGGATGATGATGATGAGTATGAGTATGAGTATGGTGATGATGATGGTGATGATGATGATGATGATGATGATGATGATGATGATGAGGATGATGATGATGATGGACTTCTCGGGGTGTGCTTGGGAGATGTTGGGGTCCTCTGGAGAGCCTTTGGACTAGCAGTTTAAATCTGCGTAGCCGTTGTAACCCGACTCTCGTTTTCTTCATCGGTCTGACCGGTTTATCAGCTTACACGGCACAGCGCAGCAACACGACAGACGGCAGCAGCACGGCAGACCAGGAAGGCAGACCACAGGAGCACGGCAGACCAGAACGGCAGACCAGAACGGCAGACCGCAGGAGCACGGCAGAGCAGCACAGCTGACCACAGGAGAACGGCAGACCAGCACAGCGTTGTTGCAGCAGACGGTGCTGATACACTCTTAATTTATTGAACACGTCCCCAGCGAAATCGTCATGGTCGGCCGTATTGAGGGCACTCTGCGGGTCATCTTTGGGCCGATTTTGTTTTTGGGGGGCCGTACTGATGCCCTCAAAAACGATTCCAAGACGACGTTAGACTCATTGTTTGTTTGATGATTGTTCGGCCGTCTTGAGGGCACTCTTAGGGCATAGTCTGCCGTGCTCCTCGTCTTGGTCTGCCGTGCTCCTCGTCTTGGTCATCCTTTCCGTCGTCTTGAGGGCGCTCTTGGTGCCTGGTCTGCCGTGCTCCTCGTCTTGGTCTGCCGTGCTCCTCTCGGTTTCAGTGCCTGGTCTGCCGTGCTCCTCGTCTTGGTCTGCCGTGCTCCTCTCGGTTCCTGCGCGCGGTCTGCCGTGCTCCTGTGGGGAGCACGGCAGACCACAGGAGCACGGCAGACCACACAGGAGCACGGCAGACCACACCTCGATTTTTTGAGGATGTCTCGAGCGAAATGGCCATTTTGGGGAATCCGCCAACGAAAAATCCCGTGCAGCGCGGCAACCCATAGATATAAAGATATATATATATATATATATATATTTACTCAAGGATTCAGCCAGAACGTCCCGCTTGCTTCTCGTACCTCGAAGACGCTTCCCGTCATCCGCCAACGTGCCCGTGCAGCGCGGCAACCCATAGATATAAAGATATATATATATATATATATATACTCAAGGATTCAGCCAGAACGTCCCGCTTGCTTCTCGTACCTCGAAGACGCTTCCCGTCATCCGCCGGCCCCCTTGTGGGGCCACCAGGCTGTAGGCCCGTGATTCGCAGTTTCCTGTACCAGTTGTAGTTTGTAGTTTCCAGTGTTACAGTTCTGCTTCTTGCTGGTTACTGTAACTAGTTGATTGACTGCGCGAGGGGAGGGAGGCCCAAACCAGATTTTTTAGCACCCCCTGGGCGCGTTGTCTGAATTGCTGGGGGGGCTCGAAATCGACACCCCTCACGCAGATCCGCGGGGTCAGGGTCCAAAAACACAAGGGATTTGCCACATTTCTGAAATTCGGTGCCACCCCTCACGCAGATCCGCGGGGTCAGGGTCCAAAAACACATAGGATTTGCCACATTTCTGAAATTCGGTGCCACCCCTCACGCAGATCCGCGGGGTCAGGGTCCAAAAACACAGGGATTTGCCACATTTCTGAAATTCGGTGCCACCCCTCACGCAGATCCGCGAGGTCAGGGTCCAAAAACACAGGGATTTGCCACATTTCTGAAATTCGGTGCCACCCCTCACGCAGATCCGCGGGGTCAGGGTCCAAAAACACATGGGATTTGCCACATTTCTGAAATTCGGTGCCACCCCTCACGCAGATCCGCGGGGTCAGGGTCCAAAAACACATGGGATTTGCCACATTTCTGAAATTCGGTGCCACCCCTCACGCAGATCCGCGGGGTCAGGGTCCAAAAACACAAGGGATTTGCCACATTTCTGAAATTCGGTGCCACCCCTCACGCAGATCCGCGGGGTCAGGGTCCAAAAACACAGGGGATTTGCCACATTTCTGAAATTCGGTGCCACCCCTCACGCAGATCCGCGGGGTCAGGGTCCAAAAACACAGGGGATTTGCCACATTTCTGAAATTCGGTGCCACCCCTCACGCAGATCCGCGGGGTCAGGGTCCAAAAACACAGGGATTTGCCACATTTCTGAAATTCGGTGCCACCCCTCACGCACATCCATCGCAAGGCGTGGTAACCCAAACTGCGAGAACTCCCTCGGCCCTTTAATCGCAAGGTGTGGTAACCAAGCCCGTAAACCATACACGTCTTACCAATCGCCAGGTGTGGTAACCCCTCTTGTGATCAGTTGGTTTTGCTGATTGCGAATCGGCTTCGCATGAAGTTTCGATACTGCTTCACGACAGCGCCAAGGCCTCATGACTTAGCTCTTCCATGGCCCATTCTCCGAGAGAGGGGGCCGGCGGCAGGGGGCGAAGCCCTTACGGATAAAGGGGTGAGAAGGAGAAGGGGAGGAGGCTGGAGAGGCTGAGCGGTGTAAGAAAAAAGCCGAGGAGAAGGACACGGCGGCTGAAGAAGGGGAGGGGGGATGAGGGGGAGGGGGACTGGAGGAACCCGGGATGCAGAAAGCTGCTGCCACACCACACGCTGCCGTCTCAGGTCCAATCCTCATATGTCCCCACACGTGCTCCCTGCTTGCATGGTTACTGAAACGCCCCCCAAGAAACTGGCATTCAGGCGAGAGTCCCATTTTCACGACGAACCGCAAGAGAGAACAGGGAAGAGGAGGCGAGAGTGGGAGGTGAGGACGGGGGTACTGGATATGGATATGCGTATGCTTCGTTACCCTGGCTACGGAAGATGGAGGTTCTAATCTACTCGAGCTTCGAAATAATTCAGGCCAGCGGGCATGAGCAACACCCGCGCGTGCGCGAGCTCTTTGGCGATGCGCCCGCCGCAAGTCTTTGAAACAGAGAAAGAGGGTGCTGGCAGCTCGCGAGGCCAGCCCCCCTTTTCGGGTCGGGTGAAAGGGGGGGGATAGCAAAGGGGGGGTTTGAGAATCAGCTCACCTAGCTGGTTTTCCCGGCGCCTCCCGGCGCCAGAGGCGGCTATGTATCGAGGAATGGGCCCCTCGGCGAGGCCGAGACCAGCTGCACGCAGCAAATGTTCGTATCCCCCCCCCTTTCCCAATCCCCCCCCCCCCTTCGTCTGGCCCGACCTTCCGCGACAGTCATGGTGCTACAGGAGGGAACGCTGCTCGGGGAACGAGGTGGTCTTTTTCGGGCCACGGCGAGCCCCGGCCACGAACGGTCTCCCCCGCACCGAACTCCAGGGAACGGCCCACAAGCCAGCGCCCCTCCGGAGCTCAAAGTGCTGAAGGTTCCAACGTCTGGGCCGTACGATCCTTCACGTTTGGGATCGCCTGCAGACATGATGTCCCCCGACAGCGACGCTTCGTCGAATCTACGAACACATTCGTAGAACGCTCGTACATGCGACGACAGGATATTTCGGCGGTGGACAAACTTCCCTTTAGTAAACCTCCCCTTCGTGAAAACGGTGTGGGACCGAAACCGACGGACCTGGGCCCGCAAAACTGACGGCCGCGACGCCCTCTCTCGAACAGAAAACGGCCAATCCCATAATCGACGTGAATATTGGGAAAATACAAATATGTAGTCGATTTCCTATTTCCCTCGCTTCACCTCCTCGGAAATCCAGGACGGCCGAAACGAACGGCCGCGGCGGGAACCTGCCCGCCAGGGCAACCACGGTTAAAACGTTGTGCCGAGCCTCATTTTGAAAAAACGCCATCGCGCCCCAGCACTCCTCCGCATCATCATTTCCCCCATCTTCCTCATCTTCATCATCCCCATCATCATCATCATCATCATCATCATCATCATCATCATCATCATCATCATCATCATCATCATCATCATCATCATCACCCTCGCCACCATCGTCAACAACATCATCAGCACCATCACCACCACCATCATCATCATAGCATCACCGCCGTCATCACCCTCATCATCAGCCTCAGCATCACCACCATCAGCATCGCCAGCATCAGCATCATCACAATTAGCATCATCATAGCCAGCATCATCATCATCATCATGAACAACATCATCACCACCGTCGTCATTATCACCATTATAAGCCGCGGCCCGAGGACTGAGCTACCATCCAGGAGACCAGGAAGGCCGCCGTAGCTTGGGCCGACATGCTGGATGACGAGGTGGGGGAGAAGCTGCAGCAAGAGCTGGATGCCAACTTCGCTATTGCGTTGATGCATGGGTGCTTCGGCATCTTGCGGATGGCTTTCGGCAGCCAGAAGGTGCAGAAGGCTGGCACGTCGCGGGAAATGCAAAACCTGCTGCTGGACACGCAGAAGAACATGGCGAATAAGAACCAGGGGCCCGCGAAGGAGCCCGTGAAGGAAAGCAACTGAGGCGTAAAGCTCGGCAACGTGAAGTTGGCCAACAGCTGAAAGCAGCCTGGAACGCGGTCCCTGAACGGCGCGCTGCCCCGTGGTCCTGGGGGGCGCGCGGGCCCGCGTTGGACGTCGGTTGCCGCGCGGGAGCCTCCTGGCTCTGTTTGAAACAGCGGCGCGCGCGCTATGCCTTCCGCTGACTCCGGCCCCCGGCGACGCGGAGTAGGACTTCGCCGCGTGGGCGGCATGCTTTCGCTTGAACATTCCTAATCCCCCTCCTCCTCCTCATCATCATCCTCCGCCCCCCCCCCCTCATCCTCCGCCTCCTCCTCCTCCTCCGCGCCCCCCCCTCCTCCTCCTCCTCCACCTCCTCCTCTTCCTCCTCCCCTCCTCCTCCTCCTCCTCCTCCCTCCTCTTCCTCCTCCCCCTCCTCCTCCTCCTCCTCCTCCTCCTCCTCCTCCTCCTCCTCCTCCTCCTCCCAAGACTGTCACGACATGGTATAGGTCTGACACGAAGTGCACACCAGCCTGGACGAAGAAAAAATGCACAAGCGCACCGAAGAAGAATGGACCAGGAGAGACACCCCTCCCCCTGCTACCTCCCCGCCCCCCGCCATCATGGCAGCGGGGCGCGCCTGTGGCCAGCATCGCGGGGTCGAGCCCGCAAACGGGTTGGCCGCGGGAGAGGGCGGACAGTGGAGAAGGGACAAAGGTAGCGGGTTCTCGAATCTGTGAGCCGACAAAGGGACACGGCCTCGGTGGAGGTTCGATATCTCGCCGGGCCTGCGGGGGCGAGAGCAAGGGGCCAGCAGGCCCGTCGCCTTGCGGGTCGCAAAGCACCCGCATTCGTTACAACAAATAACTGATAAGTCACTGCTCTCCAGCCTTGCACCATGGAGTTTGTGGCCTGACCCCTTTTTCTTGTTTCCAAGAAGGACTGTAAGGAAGGGGCCAATGCATCACACGCATATGTGCGCGTTGCAAAGCACGTTCGAAGGCACCTCAGGCACCCGCATGTGACTCCATCCCAGGCGGGTTCGTGCAGGCTGGGCGTTGTTTTGGTGGCTCTAGCTCTTCTAACACGGGTCAGTTTGCCAAACAGATCCTTCGGCGGTGGCCAAAAGCTGAATCTTCGCCGCTCCTACAGCCAGATTGCTGTACTCAGTTAAAGCTAGCTGGTAGACCTCGACCGTTCCTTGGGCAACCCCCTGGGCTCTCGAGGCTAGTATAGCAAATCGGTCAGCGAGGGCGTCACCCTGGATGTTCATTCGATCGAGGTCATCTTCAGCACTCGTTAAATCTCGGTGTGTCGTGACCTTGCACCTGGTTGGCCACCAGCCTTGGACTAGCTTCTGTGCCGCTGGTCTCCAATACTGGGCGCGTGGGTTCCATCCCGCAAGCGCCTTCTCTGGCCAGGACGACATAAAACCTAAGGCGCTGCAGTCATAATGAATGAGAATCACGGGAGGGCCCCCTGATCTCAAAATTGCGAGAGGCACTGCGGCATATTCGGCGTCCCCACTCGTTTGTGGGAGGTCTGCTGGAAGCGGGGGGAAATCGCGCGGAGTTGTTGCCCATCCTCGCATACCTGCACTGCTGCTACTCCTGCACGTGCCAATCCGGGTTTGGTTGAAAAATCACATTCCCCATCTGTGTAAATCATCGCTCCAGCTGGGAAATTAAATGGTTCGACAGGGGAACGGTCAGGGCCAAGAACACGCATATCCCAGTCAGTGCGGACAGGGTCCAAGGTTGCGAGAGGCTGCCACATATGCGTATACAAGATATGGTCTGGCCCTGCACCTCGGGCGTCTTGTAGCAGGCTCGGAAAAAAACTTGTGATCGTATACCGTGTCCACACGAGCATCTCCAAATGCGGTGGAACGTCGTGCCTTGCCTTCCGCAAAACACACACACACACACACACACACCGAAGGGGTTTCATAGCCCCATCTGCATACATTTGCCCAGTAGGGACAGAACCTGAAACCATAGTGTTTGACAACGTGCCAAACTCCTTCCATGCCCTTGGAAGTGCAGGTATTTTTGGCCGCGTGCATCCACTGCCCTTCAGCTCGAATATGGTCGGCGACAAGGTGCGACATGCCTGCTAATGTGTTGTTAAATGTAGCTGCTGGCTTGATGGCTGACAACTCTTGAACAAAAACCTGGACAACCCTGGCAGGTGCCACTTCAGTTCAAACGAGCTTGGCTCCAGCATTGGTTACAATTATCGTGGGTGACTCGGTCGCCCAGCCCACTTTTCAGCCGCAACACTGCATCTGAAAACGGGCCTCTGTTCCGAGAAGCCCAAGGTTTCCAGGCGTGTGCGTCTCTGAAAGCTGCTGGTAATCTGCTCAAGGAGATGGCGTCCGCATGTACGGGTCCCCCCATCTAATTCGAGGGTTGGTACAATGCCACCACTCGTGTGCATATCTGTCTAAGTGTTGCGGCAGCTACATAAAGTGGGTATTCTTGACATTTGGACGCCAGGGCCCAGGCTATATCCATTAGGCGACCTGTTTGCTTAAGCCCCTCCTCTTCCTCCTCCTCCTCCTCCTCCTCCTCCTCCTCCTCCTCATCCCCCTCCCCCCCCTCCTCCTCCCCCCTCCTCTGGCACACTTGGGTGGAATGATACAATTGCTCGTGCGGACTGGAAACGTAGGAAGTGCTCGTCCAAGGTGAAGCCCTACAAGGGCAAGCCAGACAGCAAGGGTTCTGTGTCCAAGCTTCAGGGGGCACTGACGGAGGCCCCGTCCGCGGAGAAGCTGCTGAGCAAGGCTAGCCAGCTCGATGCGGACCCAGTGCAGGAAGAAAATCCTTCAGGAGCAGGCGCAAAGGCCGCAGCCAAGTCCAACGGGGCGGCGGACTCTGCGCAGATGGCGCCCGCAGAGGCGGTGCGTCGCGCCGAGGGCGCATGGAAGGATGAGAAGTTGAAGTTCGATCGAGCTTCCGCTCAGCCTCGTCGTTGTCGGGACAATCTAGAGCGAGCTGAAGCCAAGGAAACCGACGCTCAGAGAAGTATGGCTTTGGCAGAGATCAGTAAGAAGACGGCGGCAGCAGCATTGGCGCAGGAAGTAGGGCTTTCCACTCGGCCCGATCCCAAGGTGCTGCAGTCTCAGCCGATCAACGTGCAGGCGCCCCCCATCAACATCGGTTTCACGTGGGACGAAAGCTTTTCTCCTCGCCCGATGAGATTGAGCGCGATGAGGCGGAGCGTATCGTGCTGAGGCAGTTCGAGAAGGACTTGAAGGCCACTGGGGGGGCGTCGGCAAACACGTCCACCGACATCGCGCGGTGGAACCAGAAGGTTACGGAGCTCAAGAAGGCCATCGAGGAGAGGGTGGCCAAGAAGCGCAAGAAGGCGACGGAGGCCGAGGGCGACGGTGTGGCGTCAGGCGCAGGAACGTCTTCGAGTGCATCGGGGGCGCCAGCGGCCAGCACGCCGACGGATGCCGAGATCCAGCAGGAGATGGAGCGCATCAAGCAGGCGCGAGAGCCGCCGAGGAAGCCGCGCGTGGCGCAGCAGCGGCTGACGGCGAGCCCGCAGGCAGCCAGGGCCAGTGAGGCCCAGGCCCCGCCGAAGATGGCGCCTGCAGGGGGGGGGTCGGCGGCGGCGTCAGAGGTGGCCCAGGAGACTGCCGGCGCTGCCGAGGAGAAGTGTGACGCCAAAACTTGCAATATGTTTTTTGCGTACATCACGGCTGTAGGACGGCAAGCTTGGAAGTTCCAGTTCAGCAAGTCGCATGCTCCGCAGTACCAAATCATGGGTTTAGATGAGACAAGCGTTTTCTTATTATTATTTCCCTACCTAGGCTCTGCCTAGAAGGATTCTTACTCTCTTTCCTAAAGGGGCCCGGCAGTGCACACCGCCCCGGGCGGTTTCCCCAGTATCCGCCCCGCGGTTCCCCTAGTTACGTCCCCTTCGCTTAGCGTTGCTTATCTCATCTTAGCTTAGCGTATTTCATGCTAGCTTAGCTTAGCTTCATCTTAGTTCAGGTTTATATTAGCTTAGTGTACATTCAGCTTAGCTTCGCTGAGCGTTAGCATAGCAGAGCAGAGCAGAGCAGAGCAGAGCATAGCATAGCATACCGCAGCATAGCGTAGCATGGCATAGCCCAGCATAACATAGCATAGCGCAGCATAGCATAGCATATCATAGCGCAGCACAGCACAGCACAGCATAGCACAGCGCAGCATAGCATAGCATAGCATAGCAGAGCAGAGCATAGCGCAGCATAGCATATCATAATATAGTCCAGCATAGCATAGCATAGCGCAGCACAGCACAGCATAGCATAGTATAGCATAGCATAGTGCAGCATAGCATGGCATGGCATGGCATAGCATAGCGTAGAACCTAATGCTGCTTTCCTAGGGGCTCCAACTTCTAGGTAGGGTCGCACTGGGGTAATTTCCTCCTCCTCCTCTTCTTCGTATTATCCTCCTTCTCCTCTCCACAGCGCGGACGAAGACAATGACGGGACCACGAAGGTCCCCAGTTCAGACCACTTGCTGAAATGCCGCAAAGTGTGAACTCGACCTCCTATCTACCGCGCGGACGAAGGCGATGTCGAGCTTACGTCCCGTCCGTATCAGACCACTCGTCGGTGTTGCGCTCTTCGTACACCCAGTCCCCTTCCTGCAGCGTTGTTGCACAGGCACGGCGGCGGGGCTGGCCGCAGGCAGTTGGATAAACATGGCGGTGCAGAGATGGGCGTTTCCGAGTCTGCCTCTTGACATGGCTGCGCTTAAGGGAGCGTCCTCCAGTCTGCCCCTGTATACTGGTCTGCGGGAGTGAGCCTTCCCCAGCCTGCCTCTGGGCCTGCCCCATCCTCCGTTTTGAAGTAACTGCATCGGGGTGAAATGTTCCGCAGTGTGCCTTTTGATGTGGCCGTGTGGGCGTGCCTTGCCCAGTGGGCCTCTTGATGTGGCCGTGTGGACGTGAGCTGCGAGCCGTACCCAGCCTACCCCTAGACGTGGCTGTGTGCAGGTGGGCCATCCTCAGTCCGCCTCTTGATCTCTTGATACGGCTGAAGGCTTGTTGGGGGGGGGTACCAGACAGCTTGGTTTCTGGTCGCGGCGAGACTTCAGATCTACATCAACAAATTACTGGCGGCCTGTGAAATTGTGCCTCAAGGCTCTCGCTATCTATTCGGATGCTGCATGGTGGAACAAAAAACTCCGCGGCAAACCTGGCAATATAGTACAAGTTAGGCAGATGTGTCGCATTGAGTTGTTGGCTGCGT